ACTGAATGCACCAAACAAAAAACAGCAAAAGAATTTTTTTTACTGCGTAATGTCACCTTTCCATCGAGCATAAATATGAAATTGAGAAATCTATCAGTGCAGCCATCTACCGAAAAAATAATGGATTTCTTTTTCCCCAAACTGAAATATATTGTTTTTTTTTTTTTCTATTTTACTCTACTTAAAATCAAATGCTTTTTATTGTACAATATTTTGCATCGTCATACACCTATACCTGACCTGCCCACATACTTATTAAAAGTTTTGCTTGACGTTATTGTGACGACACTTGTTGGTTGTTCACATACATATGTGTATAATGTATACGATATTTGTTTATCTTTACGATTACATACTTGGTTCCCTTTTGTTTGTTACATATAATTGAGTATATTCGATGTTGTAATCGAATTGATCTGAAAACCAAATAAGTAAAAAATGATTTTTACATATATGCGTACACATATGGGTGGAAGCAGTTAGTTGTTTGTAAACATATTCTACAATATGAAAGCAAACTAATTAAAAAACATATAATATATTTTTTTATCCACCACCAAAGGACGGCGGTATATTAAATGTGCATATCCGTCCGTAACGCTCGGTACCCATTTTTAGTTATCGTACGATTCTGAAGCGTTGTAAAAGTCGTCCGTCTATCTGTCCATGTTTTATTGCAACAATCACGACCACCAAAAAGGGCAAAAAAGACGTTGACATTGGTTTATAGATAATTGATAGATCACCTATTACTTTCTCTACAATGCAATTCATTGCACATGGCTACAATGAAAACAAAAAACACGATCCGCTTACCAACATGTTCAAAAATTATCAAAAATTTAATTCGCAACTCATAAGAGACAGGTCTGAAAACCGAATTCAAACATAAGCTTAGATTCATTATAAGAATTTCCTCAATCAACTGGTCCGCACGCACACACTTACTAAATTATTTTCTAATTATTACCTGATGGTTGAAAGTCGTGAATATCTAAAATTACCCTTAAGATGAATAAAAGTTTTTTTTAGTCCAAAAGGACATCGAATATTGATGATGTAATCGTACAAGCATATTAAAAAAAGCACATTACCTCCAAAAGGAGCTGAAATTTTATACTTTCAATCATAAAACTTCACTTTGTCGTCTTTGTACTTCAGCCTAAGTTGAGACGATTTGAGCGAAGAATAAGTAAATACTACTAAGAGCACTATTAGATAGTTCACGATTGCTAATAAATAAAGCCTTGTGTAGTCGCTTATATGGAATTGAAAGCAAGAAGTCATCATTCATCATTTTCATTGCATTCAAGTCAATTCTAACCTTCACTTACGTGAAAAGTGTCGATCCTTAAAATCGTCGTCGGATCTAAATTTCCCAGCTCCCAGCTAAATGGAACGCAAATTCAAAAAATTTGACAAAAATTTAAATTATCTTAAAATAAAAGACCGAACCTATACACGCCTTAAAGTGAATCAATCTTATAAATATGCATTACACACACATATCTAATATATACCTATTATCTATAGATAAAACGTTATCGATGAAAATTACTTTAAATTTTTTTGGTATAATTTGAGTTTTTCAGTTTCTAAAGACTTGATGAGATGATGAGATTTATTGAAAATTCAATTTTAATTTTTACCCTGAACAAAACCAGTAAGTAGCCTTCATTGTTATATACACTCGATATAAGCTTGTCTGTTCGTCTCGTTTTCGTTTCCTCAATTTACAGGTCGCCATTTTTGAGATTACATATGATATACTGACATGTTTTTCGGCCCGTGAAGGAGTACTATTGAAAATGGTTCGAATCGGACAACTCATTCGATCGTTTCCCTTACAACACTTTATTTTGAAAAGTCGTTGTATAAATAATTGTAGAGTGGCTATGATGTTTAATAATGGGCTTTGACCCACCATAGTATTTTTTCTTACTCTATCTGAATTTAGCGCACTTTGCATAGGCGGGACGGATAGATCTGATTTTTCTTAAAATGTGAACTGTCGTCTATTTCTAACCTGAAGTTTTCTCAGATGTTATGACGCTTGATGATTACTTGCAACTGGCGCTATGCAGTATGAATGCCTTCATAGCGTATTCGTAGTTAAACTATATAATTTATATCAATTATATAAAATCTATTTGACTCTACTGTAAATGCTGAAAATCTCTCGTAGTAGGTGTAAAGGGCTATTAGCTTACATAAAAGACAGATTGTCATTTGAGAAATATATTTTTGAAGGAAACAACTTGAATCAAAGATATTTGTACATAAATTATTTAGGAAATGCGATTTGTAGCTGATTTGAAATTTGAAAATAAATAAATGCTTATTCACTCTTAGTTATTTACCTAATTTAATAGAGAAAACATTTACAAGATATCGAAAAGTAGAAGATGTTCGAAACTCATTAAACTCCTTTATATAGAAATTCTTCTGCATTCAGATTATTGAAGAAAAAGAGGAGCATAGTTGTCGACAAGTGTCTCTTCATTTCAGATCTTTTCTGTAAAATTCACCTCATTTCAAAGATACTTACGTCGCGTGTATGTGTGTGTGTCTCCACTTGGGAAAACAAATACATATTTAGGAATTTATGAGGATTTGAAATCGATCGATTGATTTGCAGAGAGCGACAGCTAGATCCGTTCATTCCTTTCTTTACTCTGGCCTTTATGATCGGAACTTCTAAAATTTATATGCATAGCGACAAAATTGATTTATCTAGATTGTTAGATAGTTGTGTTGAATATAAAATGTTCACAGTTATAAATCCCTTTTACAAAATCAGCATTTTATAAAAAAACACACGAATTTTGATATCGCATAGAACGGAAAATTGTTCTCTTATTGTTCCCTGTCACTGAAAAGTGATGAAAGTGAAACTTATGGGCATATTGCCAGAACAACAGCTAACTTTAAATGGCTTTTACTAAACAATTTATATATGAATTCTTTTAAACATACATATGCACACACCTATATCATCACTCAAAGTATTAAAACGATTTCATCCATCCACCAGTAAACGTGTTTTTTATTTTTTTTGTTTTTTTATGTTTCTCTTTCGTTTTTTTTTTTTTTTTTTTTTTGTCTCTGTGCTGTATTTTTTTTATATTTTTTTTATTCTGTCTGTCGCTTTATTATTATTTCCCTATTGACGCATACTATGAAAAAC